TATCGTAGATTGAGTGCAGCACCAGAAAGTCTTTAGAGGAATGATATAGCTTAGATAATTTTCGTAATTTGTTCCGAAGTATTCGAGGGATGTATTGGCCCTCATTCTTCTTCACCTTAGTTTCTCTCATAGGAGCAACGATGTCTAGACATAGCATTATATTTCTATGTAAAAACGAAAGTGACTCTGTTAACGGGGCTGTCATGAAGTACTCATCCCAAGGGCTGCACCTGAGGAGCTCGATGAATACCTCCCAGTTTATACTTTTGTAGCTACGATACAAGATATTTCTCATAGGTTCCTTGTTTTCCTCATGAAGAAGGGAGATCGGTAGGCAACAGAAAACCATTTTATGACCACTGTTAGCGAATTCACCACCAACGTACGTGGTGACTGGGACGATGTCACGGCAAAAGACTAGATCCAGCGTACTGCTCCCACGTGTGGGTGAATGGACATATTGTTTCCATCCATGGAAATCTAAGACAGTAAGTATTCCATCATAGCGTTGTGGGCCACAACTGGTTTCCCAGTTAACTTCAGGCAGGTTTAAGTCCCCTGCAATCAGTTTGAAGTCAGCACTGATGGATGCAGCACGGGAAAATGACTGAGCAATAAGCTCATCAGCTTCCCTTGATGAACATGGTGTTCTATAAGCACAGCCTACGAGGATTTTATAGTTGGTACCGTTTATAATAACCCATATTGAGTCAGGCAGAGCATTCAATGTACCATCTTCTACCTCATTAGCTGTGACAAGGCTACATGTATAAATCAAACAACCTCCTCCACGCTTATGATCTCGGTTAGTGCGATAAAGGGTATAACCACCTATGCACAAGTCTACATCAACGACTGAGGTGGGGCACCATGATTCAGTAACTAATATCACTGTAGGCTTAGTTAGCGAGACTATCGTTCTCAAGTCATAAATTTTCTTCGGCAACGACCGTGCATTGGTGAGCAGAAGTGTGAAAAGGTTACTATGACTTGTGAAGTGTTTTACAATATCTTGTACGTCCAATTGGTTAGAGAAATTTCCTATACTCAATTCATTAGACGATGTGCTACTTGCGTTATGGACATGTAACTCAGTGGTGGTGAATGGCGATATGACCAGTGAAGTTTTATTGTGCAATAAGTTATGATCACTTGCTTTTTGAGGGTGCGTGTATATGGTTGATGCGCTGTTCATTCTTACTAGTGACATACAGTGCAGTTCATGGTCGGTGCAAACCGAGGATGATAGCTCCAGGATCGTGTTTCTGGAGGGTGAAACGATCCTATGAACAATGGGTCGTACATATTGTTCGGGGTCCCAAAAAAATTTTGGTAAGGCTCAAAAGTAGGGATGGTATTAGGGGAGTAATTATATACATTCCCAACGTACTGGTTAGGGTCATCCGGGTGCCGATGTAGATTTGGGTAGGGTATATGTGACCTGTATGACATGAATGTATTTGGTATGCCACATGGCATCCTGTTGGAGCCCTGATGGCTGGGTAAACGTGACCTAGGGTACCGTCTTATGTCAGATGCCTTCAAGTCATTGAAGTTTCGGTGAAAATAATTTTTCTTTCATCTATTCCACCTTCAAGGGCTGTCCAATCGCGTTTATATATTAGTTGGGATAGACGATTAGCAAATTCGTTTGTGTTTCATTTTTATAGCAAGTGGAATCGTAAGGCGCGTTGATGTGAGCGAGGATAATATTTCATGAATCACGAAAGTAATTAGAAAAATACGGCAAAGTGAATGCCACGGATACCAGATGGATGAATGGGTTAATGAATATGCCGCGGCTTTATTCCAAAATAGTTGGTTGAAGATTGAGTGAAACAAACTATCTTGAATATCAGTCAAGCTAATTCTGACATCACAAGGATCAAGAGATGTGAAATTATGACGAAATGAAACGGACTGAAACAGAATAAAATAAAAGCGAGGAAGAACCGGATGTAAGAAACGTGTGGTCAGGACGGTGGGAGATATTGAAAAGGATAGTACGAACTGTTTCGGCGCCTTTAGTTCTCGTTTAAGGTTACAAGTCGCCGAGGCTTCCGTCATGCGACTTAGGTGTACGCTTGCACCTTTCGATAAGCTTGATTTGGCCCTGGAAATAATGTCGTATGATGATTCTGAAGCTGCGTGGTTGTAACTAACCACATATTGGGGGATTGATGAATTTATTCCCCTGCCTTACGTTTTGCTGAGCCATACTATGGGGTGCTCTCGAATGCGACTGGAAATGCTTTTTGATGAACGTCCAATATACCTCGCCTTCACATGGGCGGGTGAGCATGTAGATATACATCAAGTTAGACAGTCGAGGTAGTATCTCTTTGCAAGTAGGATGAACCAATGGGTTGCTTAATGGGCAGCTGTTGGAGACGCGGCATAGGATGTTTTTCTCAATGACGGTGGTAGATGGCCCTTGGCCTGAAAAATCACCTCGAAGTCTTAAATTAATCCTTAAATAAATCTTAAATTATTCCGGCGTGATTGTTATGACTGAATGCTTCCGACCAACCTGCTGTTACACTCTGCACAACGTTGTGGATATCCACTTTCCATAAAGTTTTGTTTCAATAGTTTTTGCTCGTCCTCTACATTAATGCAACCCATGGGCCATATTACTTAAAGATTTGTCGGGAGTGAGTTCTGAGGGGGCTAACCAAATCTATTTTCTTTTCTATTGGAACTTATCCATAAAACTTTGTTAGCTGCACATTCCTTATTGATTTTTTGTGGATCGATGAGTTCAGAGGTAACGTGCTCACCGATGAAACAGAAAGAATTTCACCCGGTATGTAAGACCCAGCAGTTTACACAGCCTCTACGTCAGCCCTACTTACTAGCTTCAGAATTCCATGACAACTGTCAGTTGGGGCATAACATTACGTCTGTCAGACACCAGTATCACATAGGGGCTAGGTGGCATAGAGTTTGAACCTTCAATAACTAAGGGAGTCTCAAGAAACGTGAATCCGAATAGGTCCTCAGAAAATAATGGCATACGCGCAAGAGTAATCACAGTGTGCCGATGTTCTGAGTACCTCACCAGCAACCCCTTGGACATTCATTTCTGGAGGGTAGTTTTCCCTCTGATCGGAAACCAGGAGCTGTCGCCACAGCATATGAAGGTGGAGACAACCTAGTGGCTTCTACGGACCAGCTCG